TGTTGAAGTGGCGACTGCTGGCATATGCTTTCAATTTTTCTGGACTCTAGGAGCAGGTTGTATTATCAAGACTGGAATATTATGCCTCCAGAATTTTCTATAATCGGTGACAGAGGTTAAAACTCTCCTTACCTCCTCCCACTGCCACCTGTAGAGAAATGAAAGACTCAGTTTAGAAAAACGTGCTGCAAGATTGTGGGTCTTAGTGGGCAGGATTCGACAGACCCATTATCAGGCTTGAGATATAAAACTTACACTGATATGAAATAGTTTTAAAGTGCTTGGAAATCCTAATTCTCTTGTTAATGTGGCTCTCTGGTCTAGGGTCCATCTCCCATAATTTGATTTTTATTTGAGATCATTCACCCACCTGCCCAGCAACTAATAAGATGACCAGACACGCTGCTTGTGGGCATATTTATACCCCGGTCTCTGAGATTTACTTTACTTAATTTAGACCCTAAATGTTTCTCCATGAAGCCACTGTGCTAAATTCCTTCCCTAGTGAGTCTGATTCCTAAAGGGCAGGCGTGATGGATGTCTGTGCCAGGATTGGTTTCACAGGCTCCCGTGCTGGCCCCACGCTTCACACAAACTTAATTCCCACGATGAGTCAATTGACCAACCAGTTTGCTCTTTGCCTTTATTTCAAGAGTTTGGTTTCAACTGATTTCTCGTGCTCATTCTTTCTTCTTTCTCTTATTTTGCTTTATTCATTAAATGCTGCTATGAAATAATTTTATTTTTCAAAGGATTTTCTATTAGTCCTTTAATTTTATTTGGTGTTAGAAAAATGATAATTTTCACACTTGAGTATAAAGTTAAAAAGAACGTTCTAGTCTGACTCATTATTGTATTCTCCCCCCCCCCACATACACCTATAGCACAGGGAGTAAGCATGGGTGTCCACTGCTGTGGGTGATACCAGAACTATTGGATTTATTTACAAATGGACGGAAAAACCCTTCCTAACCCAGCTCAACTTGACTGTGTGGCCGAGGTAGTCCATTCTCTCTATTCCTTCTTGGAAACGTGCTGACTGACGGCCACAGAAGGTGGTTTGCCTGACTTTTGCTCTGCCTGTCCCCAGCATGCTGTTCCCTGGTGACTTGTGTGATGACCAGGATCATCATAGAATCAATATTTACATTAATTGGTTGCTTTCTTCCTCAAAACTTTAATGCCACTTGTACACTTCATTTTAATTGCAGAATTTATTTAGCATAATTAAAGCAACTGAAAATAGGCATCAAAATTTGTTTCAAGAATAATTTTAGGGCCGGCTCTGTGGCTTAGCGGTTAAGTGCACGCGCTCTGATGCTGGCG